CCCTGGTTCAGCTCCCAGAAATACCCTCCGAGTATAAATCCGTAACATTATCACTTTAACATATGGCCAATATGACTAAGAAGTGGGGCAAACAATCTCATTAATACTTAAGGAATATCGAGATGTCTTGTATTTTAGGGGGGGGTGTTCTAAATCTTTTAAATCAGTACATATTTAACACTGTCCAATTCAAGACTCCTAGACTCATTCTAGGTGTTCAGTAGCTCACAGGTGGTGCTGCAGTTAAATTACGCCTTCACCATGCCAACACCCAGTGATTCCAAACACCTTAGCTAGAGTCATCACAGATGAAACTGATTACAGTGGAGTGGGAGCCCTCTAGGAGGTGCCTATTAGAAGCTGAGTGCAGAGTGGACCCCCAATCAAGTACGACCTTAGGAAAAGGAGAATTTGTCCAGGGATGGAGCTCTGTGGGAATGCTTGCCTATCATACACAAGGCCCTGGGCTCCATGCCCAGCACTGCAGAAAGGGGACAATTCGGACACAGAGGGAGCCACCACCCCATAAAGATGAAGGCTAAAGCTGGGATGATGCCTCCACAAGTCAAATTACAGTAAACTGCAGAAGCTAGAGAAAGGCAGGGGTTGGGTCCTCCCTTCTAATCCTTCAAGGAGCAAACTCTGTCCTTGATCTTTGGCTTCCAGAGCCTCGAGAGAACAAGCTTGTGTTGTTTGAGCCTCTCCCGTTGGGAGCTCGGTCCCACAGCCTTGGTACAGAGGTACACCAAGTCCCACCTGGCGCAGGGATGAGTGGCTGCCATATTGGATCCTGCAGGTTGACTCTTAACCCTTCCCACTTAGGAATCAAAAAAATGAGTTCAGGTCTCCCATTCTCAGGGCCACCCAGCAGCACAAATAGGACTGGGACCCAGGCAAGTGGGGCAGGGCCAGGCTTTTGCTGCCATTCTGTCTTTCTGCCTGCCTGAGCCCCGTGTTCCAGGCTGCCCTCAGTCTTCCCCTGAACCCGCAGGTCATGGCACCTCAAGCATTAGCTCCTGTTGGCATGGAGGACATTTTACCATCTGGGCCAGAGGTTTGGAGAGCAGATGGCTCCCTTCCTTGCTTGTTTTTGTTGTCAACTTGACACAAACCTAGATATGTCTAGAAGAAAGGAGTATCAATGGAGAAAATGCATCCAACAGGTTGGGTGTAGGCAAATCTGTGGGACTTTTTCTTTTCTTTCTCCTCCTCCTCCTCCTCCTCCTCCTCCTCCTCCTCCTCCTCCTCCTCCTCCTCCTCCTCCTCCTCCTCCTCCTCCTCCTCCTCCTCTTCTTCTTCTTCTTCTTCTTCTTCTTCTTCTTCTTCCTCTGCTTCACTTGGATCCAAAATGTTAAAATGGGGAGAGGGGAATTTTCTTCCCTAAAAAATTTATTCATTTTCATTCTATGTACATTGATGTTTTGCCTGTCACAGATGTATGTCTGTGAAGTGGTCAGATCTTGGAGTTATAGACAATTGTTAGCTGCCATATGGGTGCTAACCAGGTTCTCTGGAAGAGCAATCAGTGCTCTTAACTGCTAAGCCATTTCTCTAGTCCCATGGGAGGCATTTTCTTATTAATGCTTGACATGCGAAGGCCCAGATCACTGTGGGCAATGTCACCCTGGGCTGGTGGCCCTGGGTGTTATAAGAAACAGTCTGAGGCGGGAGGGAGCGGGAAGGGGGCGAGGAGGTGGCCTGGAGAGATGACTCAGCTGTTGAGAGTGCTGATTGGTCTTCCAGAGGACCTGGGTTCAACTCCCAGCACCCACATGGCAGCTCACAACTGTCTGTAACTCCAGTTCCCGGGAATCTGTCACCTTAACACTAATGCACATAAAATAAATTTAAATAAATTATATATATAAAAAGAAAGCAGGCTGAGTAAGCCATGGGAAACAAGAGGCCATTCAGCAGAGCTCCTCCAGGGCCCACACCGTGTCTCCTCACCGCAGCTCTGCCTGAAGCTTCCACTCTGACTTCCCTCAGTGACAGAGTGTGACCCGAGAGTGCTAAGCAGAAAGAAATGTTCTCCTCCCAAGTTGCTTTGATCATGTTGTCTACCGCAGTAATAGAAACCTGGCTGCAGTGCTTCATCCTTCATCGTGTCCTCATCTCTCCCTGACTTGTGCCCAGAGATCGGCCCGCCCTAGGAGTGGAGAAGCTCGACACTGGTGTGGACATGATGTAACTAACCTACATCCACGCCCGTGGCAGGCTCACAGGTGTTCCTGCAGTCTCTGCCTCATTCATGGGTCACAGGTGTTCCTCTGGCAGTTTTAGTTAAAGCAGGTGACCTGCCAAGAGAGGGAAAAGGTTTCGGGATACAGGGCCCTGGCATCATATGAGTGTAAGGGGCTCCACAGGCCCTCTTTTGCTGCCCTCCATAGGTATATTGGTCTCGACCCTCAAACGCTTGACTAGACAGACACCACTGGACATCCCTCCAGATGCGCAGCCTTAGTTTGGTGATGCCGCCTGGCACGGAACCTGGTAAGCTGCCTCATATCTGGACTGGGAGGTAGAAATTTGACTCTCAGACTGCTAGGCTGCTAGGCTCAACACCTAGCCATTTAAGAGTGACCCCAAAGAAAGGTGTGGCCTGATGTGCCCCTCCTACCCCACTCTTACAGAAGGGAGATAACTGTAGAGGTGGGGCAGGGAGATGGAAAAGGGTGAGCAAGGGGGGGCCGACCAACTGCTCTTGGGATCCAGGATCAGAAAAGAAGTGGGTTAGTCCGGAGCCCTGAGACCACCTTTGGACTTTTGCCTTCTTTCTTCACAAGCTAAGAGGTCTTCAGCTCTTCCCACGATGCACTGTGCTGGTGAGCAGAGTATAGGGATCTCAGATCATTCCCGTCGCTTTCACACCTTCTCTCACACTTGCACGCCATCTCACCTCTGCACACATGCCCAGGCAGTGGCTCTTTGGACAGAGGCTCCTGTGCCTTTTTCAGATATTGTTCTCATTGGGCATTTCTTTCCTTGACTGTTTCACTGCCTTAAGATCCGGCTTGGAAAGCAGGGACATAGGCACCAAGCTTATCTCCTGGTGCTAACGCATGAGAGGGCCGAGCTTTAGAAGCTAGGAGCAATGAGTCCAGGCTTGAACTCCTGCCTTGTCTGTAACCTAAATCTTACCTCCTTGACTACCACCTACCCTGGCTATGGAAAGAAACCCGTTAGTTGAGATCAAAGCATGACCACTGTACTAGGGAGACCCAGACTGGCTCTTGGATGAGATGATGTTGATCCTCTTGGATGGGAAGGGTAAGAGCACATTCTAGGTGAATGAGAGAGCCCAAAGAAAGTCACAGAGGCGACAAAGAGGAGAGGAGCTGTGAGGTCATAGGGCTCAAAGAGATTAAACGTCAGGTCACCAAGGAACTTCAGGTCCTGACATTGGGCCATCTCTTCTGAGCTGGCAAGTTCTATGTCAGCTTGACACAAGCTTGAGTTATCAGATGGGAGGGAACCTCGATTGAGAAAATGCCTCTGTAAGATTGGGCTGTAGGTATTTTCTTAATTAGTGACTGATGCAGGAGGACCCAGCCTATTTTCTGGTGGTCCAAGGTTCTAAGAGAAAGCAGGCTGAGCAGGTCATAGCGAGCAAGTCAGTAAGCAGAACCCCTCCTTGGCTTCTGCATTAGCTCCTGCCTTCAGGCACCTATCCTGTTTGAGTTTCTGTCTGGACTTCCTTCAGTGATGAGCTACAATGTGGAAGTTTAAGCCAAATTAATAAACCCTTTCCTCCCCAACTTTTGGTCATGGTGTTTTGTCACAGCAGTGGTAACCATAACTAAGATACCTTCTCAGAGAAAGCGACCAATGTTATTCTAACTGTGCCAGGAAGACAACCAAGTGTGGAGGATGTCCTGGAGGTGATGGATGTTCAGAGTAGAGAATCAAGTCATGAGGTTGTGAAAATTCATGGTGGGGGTGTGGGAAAGAACCTCAGAGGAACCATCAGGAATCAGAGAGGCACTGCACTTCACTTCCACCCCACACTGGAGTTCTGTTGGTGGCAAGTTTAATTATGGACTAACAAAGCCAGGGATTGCTTGTATCTGATCAAAGGGAGTGATATATTTAATTATTGACTCATTCTAGACGATTCTTTTGAGGATGTCTGTCTTATCTAGAGTTTCTATTGCTGTGATGAAACACCATGACCAAAAAGCAAGCTGGGGAGGAAAGGGTTTATTTGGCTAACACTTCCACATCGCTGTTTATCATTGAAGGAAGTCAGGACAGGAACTCACACAGGGCAGGAACCTGGAGGCAGGAGCTGATGCAGAGGCCATGGAGAGGGGAGCTGCTTATGGCTTGCTCTCCATGGCTTGCTCAGCCTGCTTTTTTATAGAACCCAGGACCACAGGCCCAGGGATGACCCCACTCACCACGGATTGCGCCTTCCCCATTAATCACTAATTAAGAAAATGCCTACAGCTGATCTTAGGGAGGCGTTTTCTTAATTGAGGTTCCCTCCTCTCAGATCACTCCAGCTTGTGTCAATTTGACATAAAACTACCCAACACAATGTCAAATACAAGTGCGTAATACTTCAAAGCAAGAGGATTATGAGACCTATGATGAGCTGTGCTACATAGTGCAGTGGCATTTCCATTGTATTTTAATAAATAAAGACTGCCTGAAGATCTGAGAGGAAAACAGCCCCACTGCTCAGCCTTACAGACCAGGTTATGGTAGCACACTCCTTTAATCCCAGTAGCCACAATGACACACACTTTTAATACCAGTAACCACACTAGTTGCCACAGAAACTGGGTGGTGCATGCCTTTAATCCCAGCCCTAGAGAGGATTATAAAATGGGAGGAAACAGTTCTCAACACACAGTCTCATTCTGAGATTCCTGGAGGCAGGATCTCCATTTTCAGGCTGAGGTTGAGGTAAGAGCCAGTGGCTGGCTGTCTTGCTTTTCGGATCTTCAGGTTGAACCCCAATTTCTGACCCTGAGTTTTTATTACTTGTGCTTCAGCATAGGGAGTAAGGACAGAGCCATTGATGACACCGCAGTGACAACTGTACTGGAGTCACCTAAGGATGCATTTCTCATCGTGAGCCTGTCTTGTCAGCAGAAATTCCACACCCCCACTGCCAACTTGACCGGATTTGGAATCACCGAGATACCACACCTGTGTGTCCATCAGTCCAAGTGTATTGTATGCCCATGTGGAGGCCAGAGATTAGTGTTGTGTCTTCCTCAATCACTCCACCTTATTATTTGAGACGGGGCCTCTCACTGGATGACCCTGGGGCTCTCCAATTCCAGCTAGCCTGAAGAATCCTCCTGTTTCTGCCTGGTTTATACAGTGTTTGGCTTTTATGTGGGCACTAGGATTTGAACTCAGGTCCTCATGCCTGTGCAGCAGGTACTTTGCCCACTGAGTCATCTCCCCAGTACTGGGTACACTAGTCTTGATTGTGAATACATAGGAGGATAATAAAAAGGTCTTCCCACTGTGCATGTTATATGCCTGTAATCCCTGCTCTTGGTAACTAGAGGCAGGGGGGTCATGATGGAGGTCATTCTTGGTTACACAATGAGTGTCGTGGGAAATCTGATCACATTGTGACACTCCAAGACTATTAATAGCAAAAGTTTGAAAAAGGATTTTTCTATCTCTTGGCAACAAACCAAGGAAAGTAGAAGGAAATGTCCTACTTGTTCTTTGTATAATCAAACTCCATTCCCTGCAGGAAATAACTCACAGGGAATGCAAAGAGATAAAATTTAGCAAATGGATAATATGTTCTATCTTGCAAAATTTGGAAAATTAAGCTATGTGCACCTTACCATAGATACACATTCAGGATTTCAATGGGCAACTGCCTTACGTTCTGAAAAGGCTGATTCTGTAATTACACATTTATTAGAAGTCATGGCCATTGTGGGGATACCTATACATATTAAGACTGACAGTGCTTCAGCATGTCTGTAGTAAAATGAAACTATTTTTTGCATATTACAACATGAAGGATATTATAGGTCTCTCACTCCCAGTCTTACAAGATAAGCAGTTATAGAAAGATCTAATCATACTTTAAAAGCTATGCTTAATAAACAGAAAGTGTAACAAAGACCCCAGAGCTAGAGTGCTCAGTGCTTTATTAACTTTAAACTTTTAAAATGCTAATGAAAAAGGAACAGTGGCTGTGGAGAGAGAAACAGTGAATTAAATCAGCCTATATATTGTAAAGATGTGCTACCCTCAGAATGGAAACCAGGATATGTGTTACATTGAGGAAGAGGTTCTGCTTTCATTTACATAGAATAAAAGTGATGGATCCCATCAAGATTGATAAAGATTAGATTCGAATAGGAGAGACCTCTTGATTAAGGAGGGGTGATATTTCATCAAACAGCTTCATCATTCAATCTAAGCTGAGGTATAAGACTAAGGAATGCCTTTCACTTTAACAGGTATGATATAT